TTAACACCCAAATATTTTACCTTTTTTTAAATCTTAAAACCTGTTTTCTTCATCAATTCTATTTGGTATTTTATCTTCATGTTTTTTGTTAACATTTTTGTCTTTTGTCTGTTAACCTTAAATCCAGCTAGTGCACCAAATTCTTTTAATTTTCTCATTAGTATATCTATCCCTTTCAGAGGGTCTTCTAACACCAGCACCAGATCATCTGCAAAAGTTCTTAATTTATATGTCTCTCTTGATTTTTACTCCCATTATCCCCTCATCTTGTCTTATATCTTGTCTTATATTTAAACCTTCCAAGACCAAGATAAACAAGAGTGGGGTTAGTGGACTTCCTTGTCTTGTACCTCTTTGAATCTCACATGGTTTTGTTAAATCTCCATTGATAATAATTTGTGCTTTCTATGATATATATGTCAATTTAACTGTTGTTATAAAATTCTCACCAAAATCCATATCTTCTAAAACTTTAGACAGGAAAGGCCAATTAAAATTGTCAAAAGCTTTCTCAGCTTTCAAAAAGATTGGTGCAGTTTGTTTTTCATTGTGCTATTCCAGATATTCTATAATGTCCAGTACTGTTCTAACATTGTCTTTTAATTGTCTCTTAGGCAAAAATAAAGGCCAATTAAAATTGTCAAAAGCTTTCTCAGCTTTCAAAAAGATTGGTGCAGTTTGTTTTTCATTGTGCTATTCCAGATATTCTATAATGTCCAGTACTGTTCTAACATTGTCTTTTAATTGTCTCTTAGGCAAAAATCCAACTCAGCTGTAATTTATGAATTATCTACCATGTTAGCTCTTTAAGGTAGTCCAGACAAGAAGCACAACTATAAGTACTAACTATCTTTATTGTAAGGTTACATTAACAGAATATTGCAAGACTGAATATTTCTCCCCTCCTTTCCTTTTATTCTGCAGAAGATTAGAGAGGTTCCCTTTTGAAATACTTCCCATGCCCTTTGTCCTTCTGTGGGCTGAGATATTTTTTAAATGCCGGTTGTCCAGTCTGCGGCTCTTCTTATTGTCTCCCAGGGTCATTCCCACATACCTTTACATCCACCAGTAGTACCTACTCCTAAAACAGTCAGGCACTGGTAGTTGTTCCATGGTGTCCAGTATTGTCAGATATCCTAAGCACTCCCATTTGTGATGTTATCTCTTTTGCATTCAAAAGACACTACAGCACTAAAATGTGTTAATAAAGTATGGGTTTGTATTGATTGATTGATTGATTGATTGATCATATTTGTATAGCCATGCAACTCACAAGAGAGTGACTCTGGGTGGTGTACTACACTCAATTAAAAAGAACCAATAAATACATATAAAACAATAATTAAAACTATAAAAACTATAAAAAAAACACAAAACAGGAAAGGATGATTGTATAGCCATGCAACTCACAAGAGAGTGACTCTGGGTGGTGTACTACACTTGTATAGCCATGCAACTCACAAGAGAGTGACTCTGGGTGGTGTACTACACTCAATTAAAAAGAACCAATAAATACATATAAAACAATAATTAAAACTATAAAAACTATAAAAAAAACACAAAACAGGAAAGGATGATGTGAACTGTAGTAAGGGAGCCATCGCAAAATGTCCCGAGTCCTCTGGGATCCCCAGGCCTACATAGCCAGGTTTTGAAGGACTTGTGGCATGTTAAGAGGAATGGGGCTAACCTCACTTCCGGGAGGAGAAGATTCCACGAGGCAGGCACCACAGCAGAGAAGGCTCACTTCCTGGGATCTGACAAATGTAACTCCCTGACAGGCAGGACCTGCAGCGTGCCTTCTCTGCCAAACCTGATGAGATGGGCAGATATAATTGGGGAGAGGTGGTCCCTCAGATAATCCAGCCCCATGCCATGAATGGCTGTAAAGGTTAAAACCAGCACCTTGAATTGGATCCAGAACAAACAGGCAACCAATGTAGCCTGCGGAGCAGAGGTGTAATGTGTGCCATTCTAGGAGCACACGTAACTGCCTGTGCTGCTGCATTTTGCACCAGCTGAAGCTTCTGGTTCTCTTCAAGAGCAACCCCATGTAGAGCGCATTACAGAAGTCCAATCAGGAGGTGACTAGGGCTTGAGGGACAGTGAGCAGAGCCCCCCAATCCAGGAACAGGTGCAACTGGCATACAACACAAAGCTGTGCAAAGGCCCTCCTAGCCAAAACTGCCATCTGCTCTTTGAGCAGGAGTTGTGAGTCTAGGAGGACCCCCAGATTGCACACTGGATCTGTCTGGGGCAGTGCCACCCCATCCAGCACCAAAGATGGCATAGTCCTAGAACCAGAAGACCCAAAACCCAAAGCTGGGGGAGGCTCCCATCCCATTCACCATCCACCAAACCCATCCCCTGGCTCTCATCCAGAGGAAGGGAAAATAGGAAGGGATCAATACACAGTTCACAGTGGGAAACTTACAGTCTCTCAGGCACTTCACTGTTAAATAGGAGCCACAGCACATTTTCCTCTTGAGGTTATGGGAGTGAAGGCAGAAAGGCCTCTGCAGGGAGGGGGGTCCACTGTAGTCTGCCACACTACTGCAACCCCCACCCCACCCAGCCACTGCCCCCACCTCCAAATCCCCAGTGTCTAGCAGCAAGGCAGATGGTAGAAAGATGATAAGAAAGAGGGCTGTCTCCCAACACCACTGAGCTCCAAAAACTCTTGGCAAGACAGGTATAGTATATTGGGTTATTGTAATTTCTGACCAATTAAGCATGCCTGTGACCTAGCATAGTTACTTGATTACCCTAGGCTACATTCTCATTCCTGCAGATTTACTGAAACTAATTCTTTTGAAAGTTTCAGTAATGATGGGGGGGAAAATCTATAAAGTACCTTCATGTTTGATATAATGAAGCTTGGTAGATGACTGCCCATCTATTTCCCAACCTTTTACAAGGAACATTTAGATAAAATTTTCTTATCGTAATTTATACTGAAATTCATGTAGAACTGTTTAGCCCTACAGATCCAAAAGGTGCTCTGAAGCTGGGGGATGGGGGTGGGGGTAGAAATGTAGCACCTGTCAGGAATTCTTTCAGTTCGTATATTTTCCTGGGTTGACATGGCAGCTAGAAAAGGTAGTCATGTAATTCCAAGGACTTATGCAGTTGAGAGTTCCAGACAGGTGCTACATTTGCATGCCCATGTGCTCCAAAACATCTTTTCTGATTTTTGTCTGAAGTACTATACAGTCCTAGTTCACTATAATCATGGGTATGTCTATATTTTGCAAGTCTAGAGCTTGTTATCTGAATCCAGCCTTGTTACCTCCAAGCTGGCCAATATCTGAATATTCTTTCTTCTTGCATACAGGTCTCCTGCCCTCCCAGGGCAGGTCATGAATTAAGAGAAATAGTATTTCCCTCAGTAAAATAATTTGTTAATACTTTCCCTTTCCCCTCTATCTCTTTTGATCCTTATGTATAATGCTTATGTATAATAAGCTAATTCCATCTCCAGCTTACTTTGTTTTGTAGCAGCATTCCAGAGTTATTTGCAGAAGTGCTTCTAAGCACTGCTCATGTTAATTATGTTATTATTTAACTGATATATAGACATTATATCTGAGGTCTGATTAGCTATGAACAATATTTATTTATGGAGATATTCTATGTGACAAGCCTGCAGAACCTATGGCTTGGTGCTGGCAAGTCATGTATCCACACATTTGTGTGGAGTGGGTACTGGAAGTAGAGAAAATAGCTCAAACAAGTATCTGTTCTAACTTGGTGCTGTGCTTTGCTAATATTAGGAACAGAACATAATTGGTTTCTCATAGGATATCATCTACCATAAGAGAGAGAGGGGCAGACAGACAGTTGGCAAAAAGGGGGAAGTCTTAGAAAAGTTCCACGAGGAAACTTCAAGATTAATGAGTATTCTGGGGAAGTTCTGGTTGGCAACTAGGGTTCCCACAATGGCTAAGGTGGATTAGATAACTTTATTGGCTGTTGGACTATGATGGACTATAGTTGGCTGAAAACCTAAAATGGACTGAGCAGTTCTGCTCATTAGGCTTTATAGAATGTTGAATGAGACTGAGGCAAATCTCCCCAAAGTGTTCAAGGGCATACCTGAGAAAAAGACTGCTGAAGAGGAACAGTATCATGAGGAAATGTGGCTACATGACCCTAGTGCCAGGGTTGAAGATAGACAGATAAAACAAGATCAAAGATTTATTTGCTAGAGAATAACTAGCTAGACATTTATAATCTTTTTGCCCTGAGAATGGAGGGTAAAATGCCAACCAAGTTTATAAGCCCTCTCCTTGAACCTAGAGTGATAAAAAATAATAATTAGACACCTGGACATCCAGGGTCTTCATATATTAGGCATACACCAAGTTGTGTAAAGCTTTTCTTACCTAGAATGCTTTTGAGAACCAACACGAGTCTAGAGGGGAAAATGTGTAAAGTGCATTAGGCTATGCTATGTTCTCCAAGAGAAGGTAGCAGGAGATTCACTCATGAAAGAATGCAAAATGATTAACTGAAAAGTGAAAATACTTGTCTACTTTGATAAGGCTTGGCTGATAACCAAACTGCTTATTTCTGTATCTATTTCTGAATAAAAATAAGATAAACTGGAACCTCTGTGATGTTCCCTGTCACTGCTAGATCCTGAACGTGCAATCCTGGTGATTCTCTGTGTGGCTTCTCTTCTTCAAATGTGCTTGCTGTGTGCTTGACTACAGGCATTTTGTGCTAGTATATTGGCACTCAGAGGTTCAACCTGTTTTGCTGCTGGTTTAATAATGTATGAGCATGCACCAATGAATGGAGTAAACTTACTACTCAAAATGGCAAATACTTAAGAAAATACTTTGCATAGGATATTCCTATATTTCAACTGAATTTCATGTAAAGAGACTGTGGTATCAGCTCAATCCAAGAAAAATTATCGTTATTTTTAATGCTGCTGTATTTTCCCATTTGAAAAAGTGGACTAATGTTTATCCTTACTGACTTGAAATATTTAGGTTGGAATCAGTACTGGCCTTGATGGTACTTGGAGAGACTGCCAAATTAAACATGTCATGTCTGAAAGTTTTAATGGACTTAGTGAAATATTTTATTTCAAGCTCTGTGCCTCTTCAAAAACAGGTAAGAGCCAAGTTAATTTTGGTGTAGAAAGGAAATGTGTTTATCATTAAAAAAAAGACTTCTCAAACATACCTAAATTGATTACAGGCAACACATTTCTTTTCATTACTGTTTATACTTTAGCTTAGCTATGTGATAGTGTCTAGCTAACTTGACTGATCTTAAAAAGCTAAGGTGGATCAGTTTTGGTTAATGCTTGGATGAGAGACATCAGCAACTCCAAGAACTCTATGTTAGATCAGGAGGTTTAAATGAAATCTCCAGTGTCAAACCACCAGTATTTTTGCCAAGAAAATTATATAGACATCCACAAAGTCATGCAGGATCAAGCTTGAAGCAAAGGAGACTTCATCTTTATTTTTGTCTCTTAAGTTTATATTGATCTCAGTAATCAAGATGGAAAAATTAAGCAAACAAGCCAGACTATTTCCACTGAAAATTTAGAAATGTAACTTTTCTGAAGCCCCAAGTGTTATGAGTGGTTGAAAATCAGCTATGAGGCTTACTTGGATAAATCCACTCCTGGACTTATATAGTAGAACTAACTGCTAAATAAGCATGTTAATGTGGTAAAGTGTGTTATAAAAATACAGTACATTAATTTGATTATTGTATAATGTTAATTTCTTTAAATAAAGTTTTCTATACTACTGATAATTCTATTAGGTAATTTTACATTATGTACATTTATATTTTTACACACAGGTGGTTTATGTATATTATGTATATTATAACATATAATAAAGTAGATCTGTGCTGTCCCAGATGAGTTTCTTTTTTAAAAATAATATTTTTATTAAAGTTTTACATAAATAAAAGCTAATATAGAACTAAAAAAGATATATAAACAAGAAAGAAAGAGAGAGAGAGAGAGAGAGAAGAAAAGACATATAAAAAGTGACTCCTCCTCCCTCAAAACAAGTATAAACATTTGCAGTAACTTAACACCTTCTCTAGTATTACAGAAAAAAAGTTCTTCTTCCCGTTTCTCATCCCTTAAGAATAGCCAAATTATTAAAAAAATCATCAATCTCACTCAGTAAAAGCATTGAGTACCAGTAATAATAACCTATATATTTTAACCTTAGGCAAATAAATCCATTATGAATTTTGACTTATAACTTTCTCTTATAAGTAAAACATAAAAGATTTATCCCCATAGGCATAAAAAATACCAATAATATTAACGTATATATCTTAAAATAAATCAAGTAGGTCCTTTTTACATTCTAATCTATAACTTTCTCTAACAAATAGGACATAGAAAGTTTATCCCCATATGAAAAAAATATTTAAATCCTCATCTTACAGTCCTGGTTTAAAAAAAAAAGATTCCAATAATAACAGCCCAAAGTCACAATTTACTCAATTTAACCCTGATCAAATAAGTCCACTTTGAATTCCTTTTTCTTCTTTTTAAGAGGTTTGATCTTCAGTAGTTTCTTCAAATAGTCTCACATGATGATCTCTTATCATTTTCTCTCTGTTTTTAGGAAAACCTTCAAAAATTTAATACTTCCCTTCTGTGAATCCAAAATAAGATAACTCTCAGTGGCACTCTTCTGATTTATAATCTGGATGTCCCCTTTAATTGTTAAAACATCAACCAACATAATTTGTAGGTCCAATGCAACTTCTTTCTCCATGTCACTCTTAACATTTTTAAGTCCCTTTTCAAATCCACATCTTTTTCCATATCTTCCATATCTCTTTTATAGTCTGGCAATTTTTTAAAGTCTATTTTAAGATCCTTATTCAAATCATCATCAGCCTCTGTTTTATCCAATAGAGTCTTTTCTTCGTCTATAACTCTATTAGATCCACTTTGAAAGTATCAAAAAAAATTGAAAATAAGTTTGTTCCCAAGCTGACTTAAATTTTTCCATAGTAAAATAATATTCCTCCATTATGTTAGTAAGTATCATCTCCTTTAATTGCTCTCTGGTTTCCTCTAGTAAACCTTCAAAGCTCAGTCTTACCTTTTGTTTATTTTCAAGTCAAAACTTTCCCACAGTAAGGATTCTTACAGTTAATTCCAAAATCATCAGCTGTACCACATGAGTTTCTCCAAGACCTGCATTGATCCTGCTGCAATCACTGCCCAGTCATGTTTCTAAATATGTAGGGTTTTTTTCTTAGAACTGTAGACTTTCCCCTCATTTTGGTTCATAATTGATTAACATTGATTAATTTTGTTGTATAGGAAAAAAATAACAAGATGTCATGCTGGCACTGGCAAGTAGGATACATATATACAAATATCCTTAGAGAAATCTGTTTGCATGGCATTAATGCAGATTTACAAAAAACCGCTTTTCTTGGATTCTGTGACTGCACAAAAGAACACAATGATGAGAAAGAATTAAGAGGAGCAAGTTTTCTTGACCTTTTGAACTTCTGCCTTCCATTTGATGATTGTAAGTACCAAAATAGTAATTTTCTCCTGCATTATGTATGTATGTGGTCCTACAGGTGAGCACAACCATGGCTGATATGCATAGCTTCAATGGTCTAAATGGCCGATTCACTTATGCCAATTGGTTGCTGATTTTTTTCTAAGTTGCATCTCTCCTTTGTTGTTCTGCATTTTATATATACGTGTGTGTGTGTGTGTGTGTGAGGGATGGAAGTAAATCTGAAACTGTTGTTGGCTAATTTAGATAACACTGTTGTCTTTATACTGCAATTCTGAGCTTGTCACTTCAGTTGTTTTTATAAGGCACATTCCCTCTTCACAAAGCTGTTGATAACATCAACAAATACACTCTTCTCTAAAGTGAATATTAAAATCCTAAATGTACACATATTTCAGTTCAAAAGAATATTCAAATTATCATTCATGCTTCTTTTTATAAGAGCATGGCAACTTCTAATTAATCAGCCACTTCATACTCTGCTTTTGAGAATAATTTCAGAAGTTGAGATGTCATCTTGATGAAATAGAATATATGCCATTCACATTGATATTACATCTCAAGAACAAATAAATGAAAGAATAAATTTACAAAATTAATCAGGTAAGAATAAGGTCCAAGTGTTTTCATAATTAGTAACAGGAAGCATCAGCTCAGGCAATAATGTATCTTATTATACAAAGTTAAAATGCCCTTAAAATGTAAATTAAATGAAGTCCTATTTAGGGAAGTTCTGCATGGCCAGTTTGCCCCAATGTGAGTATGGGCCACCAACCATTTCTCAAAAGTAGGAATATCCTCCTCTACCTCCAGCCAACCAGAAAAGCAATCTCCACCTGTCTTTTTCTATCATGCTTCAAAAGTAATATTTTCTGACTTGGGATGTCACAAGCAACACTGTCCAGTTCACTTTCTATGCTTCATTTCATTAGAGAAAGACACTTTCTTGCCTTCAGTGCCTTCTCCTACATGGGCATTTTTTTTTTTTTTACAAGTTCAGTGGGATGGTGAAAGGTGATGGAACAGTGAAATGGTAGACCTGGCTTATTTTTTTAGCCAGGGCCTGCCACTTTCCCCTTTTACTGCAAGTGGGAATGAATGAATGAATGAATGAATGAATGAGTAGTGTTTTCTTTTCTTTTTCTTAGTCTACTGGTGGATGCCCCAGATGAATGCTGACAAGTATGAGGGGGGAGTCAGTGGAGGGTGGAGAGGCTTATACAAAAGGTCTGTCAGTAGAAACCACAGCGAGGAAAATGATGATACCTGCTTTCCCAGCAAGCATGGTGTGTGTGTGCGTGTGTGTGAAGAAACAGGGGAATCCATCAATTCCCAGTTGGTTTATGTACAGGAGTCAAGAAGCTTGGAGCTGCAGTGTGTAAAAGCCCTTTATTTGGCATCTTGCTTATAGTCAACAAAAGGCAGACATTGATCTACTAGTAGACTTACAAGTTGGCCAGAATTTTATTAAATACATTTACTGTATTAATAATCAGCTGGGATCCATGCACACATGATGGGGGAAGGGAAAAAGTTTCTCTATCTCTCTAGCCAATTCTACTGAATTGTTCTGGCAGTTCAATTGCAATTTTTCCTCATGCACCTTCATTCAGGCCTGGATACATGGCTATAAGCATGTATCCAGTAATGTATATTGCTCTTTTAAAGGATTGCTTTCCCAGTAGCATATCAGGCTTCTGGTTCTTAGAGTGCTCCTGGATGCAACTTTGTTATGAGAGGCACAGATGGCCTACTGAGATACCAGCTTTAACCCGAACTGGATAAAAGTATGTTGAAAAAGTTGTCCACACTGTGATAATCTCCCAGTTTGTTTTATGTACAGGTAGTCCTCCACTTGTGACCACTTATTCAGCAACTGTTTGAAGTTATGATGGTGCTGAATGAAGGGACTTATGACCGGTCCCCAAAGTTATGGCTGTTGCAGCACCCCCACGGTCATGTGATCAAAATTTGGGTGCTTGGCAGTCCACCGCACTTATGACCACAGGGGTGCTTCAACTCCACCCACCCACCTATCTCCCCCCCCATCTATGCCTTTTGGCCCCCTGCACTCCACAGCCCCTGCCGCCCTAGCTGACCTTCACTGTCTTTTTGCTTCCGCTGCTGACCAAGCATGCCCAGCCTGGTCTTTCATGAAGCAGCTGCTGGCTGCACAAGGCTTTCTTCCCCAGGTCACTCATGGTGGTTTCCTCACAAGACCTGGAGAAGATGGCATCATGTGGCCAGCAGCTGCCTTGCGGAGGGCCAGGGTAGGCACGCCTTCTCAGCAGTGGCAGCAAGAAGATGGCACATGTCAACTTGGGCAGTGAAGCAGAGGGCGGCAGAGGCCTTGGAGTGCAGGGTGGTGAGGCCGACTGTGGCTGAGACTGGGCTGGGGCGGATGGGGCTTCCTGGGGTGCTGCTGGGCCTGGCTGGGGCTGAGCTTCACGCAGTACAAAGGGGCATTGTGCTTTTTACATCCTCAGAGCCGTGGCGTGCCAGGAAGCCCCTTTGTGCCACGCAAAGCCCAGCCCCAGCCAGGCCCAGCAGCACGGCGCAAAGGGGCTTCCTGGCATGCTGCGGTTCTGGGGCTTTTTGCTTTTCGCAGCCCCAGGGCCGTAGCATGCCAAGAAGCCCCTGAGCCAACATATTCTTTCCCCAGCCTTCCAGAGCTCATGCTGCACTGCAGCACCCCCATCCCCAACTTGGGTGTGGCCTGTGTAAGGTTTGCCCCGTTCGACAGAGAAACTCTCGTGACACGTGTGGTTCACAAAG